ACATGATAATAAGGTCTCAAAACTAAAATGTTACCCCCACCCCAGCTATAAACGTCTATTTTCGATCTATATGTATTCTGAAGCCCTGAAGCAATTTAAAAATCTGAAAGAATTCATGATGGTACTTTTCAAAAATCCAAACAACCTTGAATTTGTTCAGATTTTTGCAAAGACTCCTGGGTGAGTCAACTTCCTCGCGGACTAGTTGCAAACGATATTTTTTAACTCTGCTTGCGAGAAACTAGGGTTTTCTGACGCTTTAAGGTTAGAAAACCCGTGTTTCGCACACACAGTGTTAAAAAACCGATTTTTCCCCACTCTAACCTAAAATACGCAACTTTGCCGCTAATTTTAGGCTCTCGTAGGAAAAAATATTATCTCAAACTGGTGCAGATATGGTTTTTTAACAAAACTCGTTACAGCACTCGCCTTCGGCTCGTGCTATAATCCCTCGTTTTGCTAAAAAACTATATGTGCACCCGTTGAGAAATATACTATTTCTTTTCCTACCATCGAGAGCAGAACGAAGAAAAACAATAAAGTTTTTGTCTAAATATAAAAGCCTCATTTTTTTGACTCATTTTTTTGTTTGTGCAATTTTTCAATGAGTAACCTGACAATGTTACATTCATTCACATAGATTTCATTTAAAAAAACAGTAAACTCGCTTCAAACAAGTAAGGTCTGTGATTACAATAAAGAACCTTTGAAAAATTGCAAGGTAAAATCGAAAATACAGCCGATCGCGTGGGTGTATATCAACAGGTACAAAAAACTCTAGTTTGGCTATGCACCTAGTGAAATCGATGAAGCCTCGGGCGTTGCCTACTAGTGGTCTTGCGAGTGGTGGTATGAAAAATGAAAAATCGCTCTCCGGAAGTACTTTCAGCTAGTGCGACGAGCTGTATTGTAGAAACTCTTCACGTGTTCTTCTTTCACCATCTATAGATATACACACCTATCACACATACAAACTACAGCTCATTTTATGTATTCCCATTGAACTGCCATTATATTCTCATTCAATATGCAACGATAAAAAGCACCTTGTGGATAGACGAATTTAAATCGGTAAAATCATTTAAGTAGTATTTAATATGCGCTCTTGAAGTTCACTTGTAGCTTATGTAAAATATCAACAGTAAAACCTCGCATTAGCGGACTCTGACGTTACTAAGAAATTTGTTCGTTACCGAGATGGCCAAAAAATCAATGTAAAATTGATGATAAAAGTTAAAAACACTATCATTATACTTTAATTAAAACATGATCTTTCTAACCCTTCAGTAACATAAAAACCATGTTTTACACACAAAATGTTGAAAAATATCATATGCAACTAGTAGAAGAGACGGATGACCAACCCAGAGTATTTTCTCCTACATGAGTCATCTTCTTCACGTACTTGTTACATAATATACTTATTCGATATTTTTGAACATTTTTTCCACAAATTTCTCAAGAATATATGAATTGTAAAATCGATGAAAATTGATAAATAAAAGGTGCTATGATTCTGTAAGAAACAATGTATTTCTGTCGTGACCACAAGATCTGTCCGCTATTAGGTGTCTGCTTTTGAAATGGAATCGTTAAGGGAGATTTTACTGTATGAATCTATATCATGTATCGAGCGACAGCTCCAATGGGGTCAGCTGTTTACGCGTGGAGCTTTTTGATCCTGGTAAATAGCGATAGCTTCGTTGCTGCGCTCGACATTATCACGCTTCCATGAAATTCGATCGATACTGCAACTACGTACAAGCAGACAACACAGCCATGTTTTTCAGTAAACCCCCTACGTCTGGCAAAAATTTATCCGAACTCGCAAATATACTATACGTGGTAACGGTTCTGCTTGATAAATAATTGAAGTCCGTCGGTTTTTCGAGTGCGGCTGATTTGGCAAATGTATCGATCTTCTCTCTGCTTTGCCGCTGCGGCAAGCATACACGTACATAGGCATACATTGCAAGCTTATACACATTTGCGTCCATAGGTCCTAAGGGTTGCGGAATTAATCTCCGCAGTCATTTATTGCTTGTAGGTAGTTTCGTGATTTATACAGAATCGATCAGCATTGAACTAGCGACTATATGTGTACCAATAGCTATGCGCGTGTGAGCCAATAAATGATCCGGAAATAGCTGGAGCTATCTCGTTACTGCGTCGACACTTTTTTGCATGGCATTTGGCACGAGCCTATAAATTCGCATTTCCCTCACTCTCTCTCTTTCTCTCTGACGCTTCTATAATCAAAATGAGAAATTCTGTCGATTCTCTATAATGATTCTGTGTTCCCGAGCTATTAATTAACGCCGAGCAGCTATATATAATTATCGTAGTCGGCATTTCTTCGAGAGAAAGAGAGAAAGAGCTGAGAAATTTTTACCCTAGAGAATCCTTCGCGATAAATATTCACTTATCCAACCCTAATGAAATACTAATCACCATTGAACAAAGGCTACGCTTGACTAACTAATGAGTGTTTGTACCCACTTTTTCACGCTTTTGCTGCGATAATGCTGGTGTTGGAGTAGCCTTACTCTTTTCCTTTTGCTAAATTAAACAGCTTGCGAAACGGAGAGAGGTATACGCAGACAACGAGATGGACTTGTATCGTACAACATAAAATCTTGTCTTACTGCTTTTCCCGTGCGTACGCTCGAGCCTGTGTTCTTAATTATATATACGTTTCTTTCCCTCAAAAGTCATCATTATCAAGCCCATTGAGTGGCAATTAGCTTTAGGCTCGTTATAATTTCTTATGAAAGACCCAGACAAAATCGTCACAGAGCTGCAAGAATATAACTTAGGGTAGCATTAATTTGGTTTTTCTTTTTCGGCCGTACATGTGATGCATTTTTCTTACCATTTGATTCCGTTTATGGCATCTAATATTGAAAATGTACTTTATAAAATTTATTAATTCTTCTATCAATACATAATTATTATTATAACGTGAAATTTATCGTTAATCAAATAATTTTCAGCTGCCTTACGTATTTTTTATAATACATTATAATCGTAAAATTATATCTGTGGTGGAAAGGGAGAACCGACTAACTCCATTTTTTTCGAAATCAAGTTTATGACTTTAAACATCTACATTTACCAAGACCAAATCCATCTCGAGACAAATCGACCTAGTCCATCTCAGCGAGACCCACAACGCGATATCGAATCAACTTTGGTTTAAAAATGATGGAATATGATATTGGAACGTTGTATGTACAACTCTCGCGTCATTAGATGCTGCCAGAACAATGCGACCGTCGGGGCACTTGACGCAGCAGTAATTTGCACTTTCCTTGGTGAACATTTCGGAAAATCTGATATTACCATCAGAAAGCTGAGGAAATTTCTTATCGAATCGACTAGTTGATTTTTTTAGGGTGGGTTTTAATGATTATACAGCGACTTAGAAATTGAACAAGTGGACTTGGCCGCAAGACGTTTTCGGCCGAATCGACCAAGTCCACTTTTTTTCTTCGCTTCTACACTGTCAATTTGGTAGTTTTATGGGCCAAAAGATACATCATAGTAAGTTAAAATATCATGTTAACCTCGAAAACACGAAAAATGGAGTTGGTCGGTTTTCCCTTTTCACCACAGATGTATGCTTTAAAAGAGACACATAACACGATGAAAACCGTTAACAAAATATTTTTAAGATTTTTTTATGACTCTCTTTATGAATTTAAAAATTTTTTTAAATAATTTTTTTATAATTTTAAAAAAATTATTGTTTTTTCTAGTACACTATCTTTACACTAATTTTATAGCCATAATGCCTAAAAAAAGTTAGAAAGATAACACGTTCACCACCTTGTTTTATCACTACTTGTTGTTGCTACTCATGGGTCATTATGTTTTTGATTAATTTCATGCTTATGTAATGTTGACTCCGTTATATTCCTTTTATCATTCCTTTTATAATTTTAACTATTTCATTATGTTCTGTTTCCGCTTTGATATTGTATGATCATATTTTATTGTGTTACAGCTCAGCTTGGGTTGAATTTATAAGTGCTATTAATAAAATTCGTTTATAACTGTCGATTATGAATAAAAAAAAATCTTAGATTAGTAGCAAATTCCAAATAACAGCATAGTATTGAAAGAGGAAAACAATGACAAAAGAACGAAGTAGAAGCGAATATCACGAAAACGTGAAAGAAACAGTAAAGTTACACAACGAAATACGTGCGAAAAGGAAACGGAATATAATAGAACAGAAACTAAATGAGAAAAGAACCAATATGTTACAGAATCGAATTGAGGAGAAGATTATCAACGAATTTATCAGTCGTCCCTGACCGGAGGAAGGTGTCGATAATGCATATGTGCTGCGCATTCCTCAGACTCTCCATTCTTTATCTTGTAAACCACGAGTTTAATTGCTTATTTTTTGATAACTTTTGAACTGCTAGAGTTTTAAATTTGAAGTTTGATCAAGATGTTCTCTATTTGTTTATCTTTGTTCAAAAATTAGATTCGACATACACATGAAATATATTTTTCTAAAGCATATTGTGGTCAAAAAACTATAAATATAACAATTCATTAAATAGTATCTGCTGCCAATTTATTGGCAAAGATATTTCTCATAAAAAATTATACTAGTGGCAACCCCAGTTATTGAAAGTTATGTCATTGAAAGGAAAATCCGTATGCGACCATTTTTATTTTTGTATACGAAACTTTAAAAAAACCTAGAGATATCTAGAATTTCGTGTAAGATTTCCTTGAACAGACCCAAAAGGCCGAGAAGGCAAACATACATACAGACATTTGTTGATAATTCAATGTAGTTTCCAAAAATGCAACCCAAATTTTCCTTCGACGTTTGGTTATAAATCTCATTTTCAAGCCTATCACATAGCTTCCTCTATGAGGAAGGAAAAAATAAAAATCAATTAATAAATATTCATGATATTATACATCCTAATAAGAATCAAGAGTTCAAATTATTAAAATATGTGAATATTTTCTTTCAGATACAAATAAGTGATGAGGGGTGTTGGCTAGTATTAACTATTTCACTAGAGGATAGTCTAGTGAGCACAGGCATCAGCCGTGCAACGACGGCACAAATATGCCGTTTTACCGGAGAGGAGCCGCATCGGAAGTGCCATTGCTGATACTTATCATCGCGGTTAGCGTTGGAGCCTTTGGTACTCGTAATTCAGGTGAGTGTCGTAGCTTTTTGTGCATACTTTCAGATAAACCATTGGAAGGACCAATCGATTTCAGTAAATATATGCAAGGTTGTGAGAACATATCGTCGCCAAGAACAAAAACATACTTTAGCCTTGTTTTAATAAGATAGGTATTAAGGTTTTTTTTTCTGAGTTTAAAACGATAAATCTCTGCGTAGGGAAAACAATATGAAAATAATTCGGTGTTAAAAAGTACTCTCAAAGCGCTGCGCGCGCTCTCTTCTTTCTTATCCCATTTGCCATTTTTGAATATTTAAAATAGAAAAATAAAATAAACGAAAATTAAATTATTAACTGTAAAAATACGCAATTGGTCGATTTTTCGCCTCACTGCCTCCTCGAAGAAATCAATCAAAATTAGTTTTAAGCCACCAATAAATTAATATGACCAATCGCGGCGCTTTATACAAACTGCTCATGCTAAAAACCTCACCACTCTTATGGGATAGGATAGAATATGCTATTGTAGATTATAATCTTTAATATATAAATTAAAATGCAGTTATAAGAACGTGCATATTTTGAGACTAGATCAAGCAATTTATTTGATGGAGAAGCAATGTCATAGGTTCAGAGAAATAGACTTTACATTTTCAATTGTAATATTAATGTTCAAGTCTAAAAATATAGTCAAGCCGTGCCACTAAATAAGATAAACAGTACCAAGATTCGAATTAATAAGCGTAACATTATCTTTAAATTAAAAGAACAATAACCGTACCAATTTTAACCGGACAATCAAATTTATTGCATTGAAAAAATTGAAACGATTTTTTTCATCAGTTATAATTAAAAGACTCATTTTTTTAAAGCTGCTCTGATGATATAATTACGATAATAAGGAAAACTATTCATAAAAGTAGTAGGCCCCGAGACATGTATTCGAGCGATCTAGAAAAAAAAACTCGTTGATGAATATTTTATCGTTGTTACATTTTACCTTAATTAATTCCTCCTGTTTGTTTAGCATTTTAATGAAAAGCTCATCCTCTTTCCCTCTCTTTTTTTCTCATATAGTAGCCAAGCCATTTCTTCTGTAGGACGACCGGGGAGTGCGCGCGCGACCACCCACAATAGTAACTCCCGGCTATTGCCTTGCACGCTTGCGCGGTCGCGCTACTCGATGGCCATCGAACAAAAGCCAAACCCAAGTGTGGCGAAGCATTACAAGTGAAAATGTTAATCGCGTCGTAATTTATGCACATCCTCTTTCTCTCTCTTCTTTCCACGTCGATGACGACTACGACCCTTTCACAATGAGCCCCTTTTACCGTATTATCCTATAGGAGAAAAATATTGGAGCCTAATCGGAGAGCAAATAAGATTATCTGATCGAATTTTAACGGCTAACTCGCGTGACCCTTACATAAGCCTGGACACTCTGACTATAGATACTCGCTCCCTCTCTCTCACTCTCTTTTTCGAAAGAGAAAACGAGTCACTCGCTACCTTATGCAGGCCTCCATGAATAAACATACACGCTGTTTTTTCTCGCTACACTGTACATTGCGCACGTGCAGTGTATATATAATGACGGCACCAGCAGCGACAAGTGTCAAATTGCTTGCATCGATTGCCGTATATATACTCGGGTATTCCGACTCTTAATCGGCTTATCGGCGCCAGACGACTTTTAATTGGCGACTTGCGACTACGAAAGACCATAATACAACAGCATCGGCCATTATGCAAGTTTATTACTTATTGAAGAAGAATTCGCAAAGCCTCGCTTTTTCATTTTCTCAGGCTCTTCCATTCGAGCTGGAACGAGAGGGACTAAAACGAGCCGCACGAGGTTTCGTTGCTGCGTCTCTGCATAAGCTGCACTTGGACTTTTGCGCGTAAGCAGATTAGGCTTTCTCTAGTCCTTGCCACTCGGAGTACTTTCCAGCGGAGTTTAGATGTCGTTACAAAGTGTTGTACTTACACCTTGTTAAGTTTGTTTTGCTTTGGCACAATAGTCACGTATTTTTCCTTTCCAAACAAGTGCTACTAGTCATTTCGTCAACAGCAATGATTTTTTTGTCTGTGCTGACTCAATTATTTATGATTAATCAATGATGAAACAAGTACGATGTTTTGTCGTCAAGTGTTTGTGATTACCGTGAAAATGTATGATACTATACATCAAAGTAAAGCAGTTCAGATTGAATTCCACTTTGTTCGTATTCGATAGTTTTTCAAGCTGACTCGATAGATACTTTACATCATTGAAAAGAAGCAATCTATAATTGCCATTTATTTTTCACTCTATTGCGATGTTCTAATTTTCAATTTAATTTGGTATTATAAAAAACTTGAAAATGAGGTTATTGAAGCCATAAATTAAATGTGACTTCCCAGTTTGAATTACGGAAAAGACGAAAAATTATTATAAATATATAATATCAGATAATATCAGATAATATCAGAAATAATTCTTTGGTGGTGGATTTGAAAGACATATATTTTTCAAAAATGCAATTTTACATCTTATAAAAAAAGTGTAATCAGTACAGCACACGCATACATGAAACATTTTCGTCTTGAGCCCATTTAGGTAGCGAACAAAGATGCGCTGCAAGCGTAAAATAGCTCTGCTCTGCTACATTCGGAGTTTTGGCCTCTCTCACACGCTTGCGACAAATGCGACTTTTGCATAGTTGACGTTGCGGTCGCGCTTGCAAGCTACATGTGCACCTCTATGCACAGACACACACACAAACCCATACGTAATTCCCACGAGCGATGAAGGTAATTAATCTGTTTTTCTTTCGTGTAATTTCGAGGCGAGATGTAACAGGCTTGGCTGCATCGCGCAGCTAGATAGATAATATCATGTACGACTCTCGTGCTGCGCTGGCTCGTGCAGTTTGCACCACTAATGTTTGAATTTGGCCGCGCAAGCTCTAATAACGCCAAGTGCAACTCGGCAACAGTGCCAGAGTGAAAGAGGCACAGAGAGAAAGCAGGCTACACACTGCTGTTGGCTGCACTTGCTGCTACTATATATACGATTCCTTACATTAAAGCGAGAGTTTTGCGGTACGCTAATTCACTCGAGATTAAGCTACTGACTCGATTGTTGCTCTACAACAGACGATTGTAATTGCGAAATACTTCTTTGACGACGAACATCAAGAGAGCCAGCAGCAGCGCTGGCAGATAGCAGCGTGTCATATAAGCTCGCGTTTCTACCTATGTCTGTGAACGCAAACGTGGGGCGCGCATGGCCAGACATAGCCCAGCTGACGAACAAAAGAACGTGTGCATTGTTACGAGCCTGCATTATGTACATCGCATAATTGTAATGGAAGACACGAGCTTGTGCATCGTCTGCAATTCGCGTTGTATGGAGCCCAAACAAACTTGCAGCGCTCCGTTTCTCTCTCTCTCTCCTCTCCCATTCTCTCTACGAGTTGGAATAATAATCCAAAGAGCATTGGAGAATTTTATCAGTTAGAAAACGCAACAAACGATGAGCGTGTGTACATGCAGGGAGTACGAGCTAGCGGATGCATTAGCCGCTAATGCATTCGTTAATGCAGATTACAACAACTAATTCCGTTTACACAGATACGCTTGTGCGCAATATGAGCCCACCTGCGCGAATACGTTTAATAAAGTTTTGGCAAATAATAAATCGACTCGTTGAACAAATACATAGTTCCAAGCTGCAGCTGTATGTGAATATGCTACCAAGTACATCGTTGCCGTTCAGGAACTTGCCTCAAAAGCTGCGAGACATAGGTTACGATAAAGTAGGCTGCGCTAAGATACAGCTTACAACTCGGAGCTACAAAAGCGTTATACACCCGGGTTCACTCTCTTTTTCTCTCTCTCTCTCTCTCTCTCTCTCTCACTCCTTCGCTCACAAAAGTCAAATTCCATTCGTATAGAATGACGAGGCGCTACCGTTGCAACGTCGCGGTAGCGCAGTACTCTAGGTAGCAGCAGCCAGTGGCAGTTAGAATGCGCCCTAGTCGTGAGCACTTTCTGGACGAGAGACAAATGGTCTCGCATACTTAGCGAGTACTTGACTGTGACAAACTGCAGCGAGCGCAAGAGGCAAAGAGCAAACGTCCTATACGTATAGTTCACGAGCGGAAGCAAGAGAAAGAGGGAGAGATTGAGCTAGCTGACGCTGAGCTCGCACACAGGTACATACTTAACGCCGCGGCAATTTCATCGTCTTCGCTCGTGCGCACAAATGACTCGTACCGAATGGCCAGCTCATAACGTTATTAAATCAAAAGTCGCACGATCAGTATCATGCGATATTAAATGTGCTTATCGCTTTCAAACTGCTGAACCTCGTCGAGCTGTACGCAACTATACGGCAACGTTGCTTTCGAATTCAAGCAAGCGTTTGTTTGCAAAAAGAGAAAGGAAAAAAGTTTCCTGTTTCGAGCGATGCAAACTAATCCGAACTCGGTGACAAATGAAAACGAGAAAAAGTTCTCGCTCCGCATGTTGCAGCCCGCGAATGAAAGAAACTCGATCTACGCAATTCATGCACGTGTAATTTTCCTACGCGCCTTCAACCCTCAAGAGTCAACTCGCTTCTTAGACATAGTCAATTGAAAATAATACCCAAGAACTGCACGAGGCCGAAGGCCATGGATATGCGTATACATTTTTATTACTTTTTCTTTTTGCTCAGCTTCGGCCATCGCCGCTATTTTCTCTCTGCTTCTTACTTTGCTCGTGGCTCGTTTTACTTTTTAATTTATCATTCGTCTCGAACGATTAGGAGCTCAACTAATCACTCGGCAAAGCAGAAGAAAGGCATTCGTGAAAGTGAGTGTACACAACAAACAGGACCCCTGATTTTTTGCCACGGTCGGACAGCCGTGTGATGAGTTTGGCAGAATCTAGAGGAGCTAAAAAAGAAGAAGAAAAAAAACCACTACGAAATAAACCGAGCGCTACTAGCGCGCCCAACACCCAGAGAGTAGAAAAGTTTGCTGAGTTGTTTGAGAAATTAGCAA